GGTCTATGTGTGTTGGTGGATCTTTTAATTGGTGGGTGTTTTAAATGGATTTTGAGATTTAACAGTGACATTTAGCCATTATTCAAAACCTGTATAACTTTTGAATAAAGTTTCTTTCCTTTTCACCAAGTTCTGCCATTGAAAGCTATAATTTTTAAGGGTGGGGGGCAAATCAACCTGGAACAGAGGGACCCCAGGGAAAGGTGGGGCGTTGTTTCGGTAATAGTATCTGGGGCTCTCCCACAACGGGTCTACATTTGATAACAATTTCCTTTCTTCTTAAACTTACAAAATTAGGATATATTTGACATATGACATTATTTCTTGAAAAGGTGCACTCTGTGGAAGGAAGGGAGGAAGGAAGGAAGGAAGGAAGGAAGGAAAAGAAAAGAAAGAGATGTACTGTGGATAGAAGGCTGGGGACAAAAGGGAGAGAAGAGGCAGATTTAGGAATCAAAGGATAGCTATCTGAGACTCTCCTCACTCCTGAGGCTGCAGCTGTCAGGTCGTCACCCTTTTCTGGCATGAGGACAACCTGGCTAGATCACAGGTACAATGTCAGATTTGCCTCCCTCCAGGTTTGTACAGTTTTGCAACTGTTCAATGAGGAAATAGTTAAATAAGAAGTGGAATCTAGTATGTGTTTGCTAGGGCAAGGCAAGCAAGTGGTATCGAAGGCAAGTGGAAGGGGATTCCCCTCTTCTCTCGTCATCACTGGATAGAGACCTACTTTTGTGCTCTTGGGTGCCAAGGATCAGCAGTCCAGAGACAAGCCCCAACCTGGGAAAACAGTGAGGTCTGTACCTCAATTTTCCCTCCTCAGAGCAAGGCTGGAACACACCCTGTTCGGTAGAAGAAGGAAGAGATCCTCATTCATGACACACGTTTCTGTATAGGAGTTGTTTAATAAAATTATACAAACCCGCTCATTTTCAGTAGTTTGCAATGACCTTTATTTAACCTTGCCACTCTAATAAAGAGCACTGAAAGAACATGGCCTTGGGGGTTCTCTCTTGGCTTCATGGTCCTAGGTCCCAGAGGTCTACACTCTACAGAGGCTGTAAAAGAAAAACTAGGTATTGGGCAGTGAATTTCTTTGGAACTAAATATTGTCCAAGTATTTGTTATGTAATTTAACTTTCTTGTGAAATTGCTCAAATTAGGGACATTTTTATACTAACCTGTGTATTGGGGAGATGGGGGATGCTAAGATATAGTGAAAGATAGTTAAAATTTTCAAGAATGCATTTGAGCATGCATGCATTTGAACCAGGGCAGCATCAAACAGAAAATATTTAGCAACACTCTACTGACAAGAGTTGAAAAAAAGCTTTGAAAGATTTAGAGGAATCAAGGAAATGATCTGATTGGCCATAGCGTAAGTGCTTATCCTACTTAGGAAAGCTTAATTGGCTATTTTTGATTGGTTGTCCTTAAATTTCATTTTCTCAGATTTGAGCACATTGATCCTGGCTTAGGTTTGGTTTGTTTGCATAGGCAACCAAGGCATTAGAGCCCACCTATCTAATGGCTGCTCATTTAATTACTTTAACAAATGATTTAACAGTGAGATTGAAAATATAATTGGGGGTGAGTTTTTGGTTGAATGCATTGTGTGGCCTTCAAGTAAACTTAATTACAGTCCTGTCCTGGCCCATTTCAGAAACTTTGGGGGACAAAATATGAAACTGCCATCTCATTGGTTTCAGAGAAGAATAAATATCATGAGGGAGACCTAATGAATGAGGCAATGGGATTTTCCTTTACCCCAGGGCCTGGGTTGATTTAAGTATTTTCTGTTAAGCTCAGTGGCAGAGGACAAACACTGGGCAGGATGGGGTTGCAGGAAGCAGAGAAGGGGAACTCAGCATCTCGCCCTATCCTAGGAATTGTCCCTTCTCCATCCTCTGAGCCTATAGTCTCCACTGTCGTGTCTGAGAACAAGGTGTTCTCAAAAAATTGGTGAGATATGGAAACACAGTCGAAGGGTTCTAACTGGTCACATTCACCAGTGGGTGGGATTACTATGTTATACAAGGTCACCTTGGCAGTGAGGCTCCTCTCTTCAGGTTTTTCCTTCCATGGCGCTGAAAGGGTGAGCTGAGGCAGGGCATACTCACAACAACGGGCTGGGCCATCCTGTTTTTCTTTTGTTTTTCTTTCACCTGCATGTTGCATCTTGCAGCAAGAAACTGTGACTCAGTTGCCAGAAGGTGTTAAGACTGGGCTTAAAGGACAATCAAGAATTCTTTCGACCTTGAACCTAAGTTTTGGGTTCCAGCCCAACTTCATCAGAGAGCCTGGAATTAATAGATATGGTCACCAGCTAATAGAAGAGCACCTTCATTTTTAATTGTTATGCTTCCTTGTGTGAATATCTCTTTCGGGAATCTCACAAAGAACACTTATGATTGACGGTACAGAATTTGGGAAAGTTGTTTGGGAAAAAGTAGCTGTTAGGATGACCAGCTGTCCTGGTTTGTCTATAACTGAGGAGTTTCTTGGGATATTTTTGGGACTTTTGAGCGCTAAAACCTGGAAAGTCCCTGATAAGCCAAGACGAGTTGATCACCCTAGCTGAAATGCATCTTAAAACCATTAAATCCTACATGCAAATTTAATTCCTACTCTCCGTGCATCCTTGGGTATGTTACTAACTCTCTCTGAACCTTAAATCCCTCATCTGTAGAAGAATTTTTATGAATATTAAATTAGAGTAAATTAAATTTCCTAGTACATTTTCTGGTCTTTGGTAGATAACAAATTGATGTGTATTTTTATTTCATCTTTTTATTTTTATTGGTACAGCAGAATGTAAAATGATATTCTGGGAAGAAAACACAACTAGAAGGAATTGAGATACCTTTCTGGGTGAAAAGAATGGGAGGAGTTTCCTCATCCCTTTTCTCTTCTCAGCTGTCCTTTCTAATATTAAGCAGCATCATGAGTGGACAATGGGATAGTGAATGCATCCCACTTCTGGGATAAGCCAGGGGCCACTGATACAGAAGACTGACTGCCGGGGGCTGGGCAGGGAAAGCGAACAAGTATGCTGGGATGAACAAGCGAGAGGGGATCTGAGGCAAACCGGGTGTAAAGGAGCTGCAACTACTCAGCTCCAGCAGATTGTGGCCACATGGGAAAAAAGACCCAGGGTGCCAGAGCTTACCAGTTTTTTTTCCCTAGAGAAGTTGTGTGTATTATTTTTATAAGAAATATACTTATTTGAATATGTTGACATCAAAGTTAGGGCTTTTAAAAACAATGTAAGACTCTATCAAAACATTTTACAGTCCTTTAATCCTTTCACTGAGATGCTCATTGCCTAAGAAAGTGAAATTAGATGTCATAATAAGACAACACAAGAAAATTTGTTCTATGTGAATGGACTACTCATCATTATTAAAAGAAACCAAAATAATTATATGATGAATTTCCCCTCCCCCTGCAAAAAAAGACAGGGTATTGCTGGGTTTGAAATTTGAGTTATCTTGTAAATCTAACAACTTGAGTCTAGACTTGTGGGGTTGCAAAATTATAAAGGTAGAACCTGCTAGCAAAGCTTCATGAAGTGCTTGCAAGCATTAGCTGACAGATTTCAAAACAGTTTGAATATTAGTCATCACAGATATGCCTGCCAAAAAGGGCAGAATGTTAAAAAACATCTGCAGCCCACATAAATACCCCCGCCGAGTTCAACCCAGAGAGGAAATAGCTTCTAACGCTGCAGAAGGCAAAGGAGCTGAAACAGCAGAGTTTAGATGGAGTGCCTGATAGACTTTCTCTGTGGGTGAACCTGCTATTGAGGAGCTAGTTAGATCCCAATATGTTGCATGTTTGACCTCTAGCTATTGGTGACAAGACCCTTCGAAGAATTTTTGGACTCATCCTACTCAATGAATCATTTATACTGTGTAAATTGAATATTAATCCTGTCAAGTATGGGGATGCTAGATGATTAATACTCCAGAGTTATAATTATTCCATGAAATGATGAAAAACCTCACTTCATCCTGGGATGTTAGGAATTGCATTCTAGGACCAATAAAGCAAACAAATCATAACAATTGTTAAGTAAGCAGCAAGGCCCATGGCATATTGTCTTGAACTTTTTTAAAAAGCATAAAAATAGGAATTCAAACTGAACCAACCTGCCACATCTGAAGAATTGCTACTGTTAAGGTCTGAGCCCTATGATGCTGGAGCTTTCCTTGAGGATGGAAGATTTTTCCTCAGGGAATCACATTGTTTTGCCACAGCAGAGAGGAAGTTGTCCTATGCCGCGGATTTCTGTGGCCCCTGAATGTCTGGGCCAGAAGCTCTGCAGAGAAAAACCGGGTATGTGACTACTGAGGACGGCTGTCTGTTTAGTTTCTTTTGGTTTTTGACTTAACACATCTGAACAGCTCAGTTGTAGAGATACAGACAATTTCTTTTTGTCTTTTTGCTTTCATTTATTCTTGCTAAATGAAGAACACTTGATTCAGAGTTTAAATGCTTCTCTTGTGACTACCTGTTATATAAACTCAAACAAAGAGAGAGTCATACACTAAATTGTTTCTTGCTTTTTGATTTAAAAACAAAAATCCCTGTAAAACCATTATAGCTCAAACTAGAGCTAGCAACGCCCATCACACTGGCAGTCTTTGTTTGGTGGGGGGGGAAAATCTCGCATGTGAGAGAGGTTATAATTCAGCAATTGTCTTTCTGAATTTAGAAATGTTGCTGATGTCAGGTGATCTGTTTTATTATCTACAATTCCCCAGTCGTGCAGCTAAAGTAGGCTTGTTTGAAACGATCTGATCATGACTGAAGATTGCAGAATCCTTGCTTGGAGGCTTGTCCCGCTTGGAATGTAATTTCGTGGAGGTAATTATTTTAAGACAGTGAGAGCCACGGTGAAACTGCACTGGAGTTTGAAAAGCGACAGGGCTGCTTTAAGGGAGAAACAGGAAGTTGAAATGAGAAGCCGCCGTGAGAACGCCAAGCCAGGCAGAATGCTCTAAGTGGCAACTTAAGTAGCAGTGTGTACTTTGAAATCCTCAGGCAGCCAGCCTGTCATAGGGGAATCTGACAAAATAGCCCTTTTGGGTTTTATCTACGGACTCCTAAGGAGCCGAGGATGGAGGGGCATCAGAGACTCCTGGCAGGGAAGGATGAGTATCAGTTTCAACACCAGGGAGCGGTGGAGCTGCTCGTCTTCAATTTCCTGCTCATCCTTACCATTCTGACCATCTGGTTATTTAAAAATCATCGTTTTCGCTTCTTGCATGAGACTGGAGGAGCGATGGTGTATGGTAAGTGCAGGCATTACAGGGTTGATGGGAAACTTGTTGCTTGGGAAACTAGAGACTCGTGCTCAGATGGCAAAGTACCGAAACTGGAGAAAAAGGTGCCCACTGAAAGTCGTTAGCTTGGTGAAAGGTGCTGCGGCATGAGGAACGCTCATCCCTTTGCAGGTGAGCTGCGGGAAGTTGCCTTGTCACCCCATAAATGTCACAATCATGTTCTCAGGCCGACATCTCCAGTCTGTTGACAGATGCAGGGGCATCGTCATGAGAGGAACGAGCCTGGGGCTGTTTATAATGATAGACACTGGGAAGGATGTCTGCGGTCACAGGAGGAACCTAGGGGCGTTAGAAGTAACATCACAAAAATGTCAGAAGGGAATCCTCTTAAGTCAACTAGTTTTCAAGAAGAAAACTTGCAGAAACATACCCCATCACTCATATTGGAATAAGTGTCTCCAAGTCCATTTTAATTATAGGAGCAATGTTTTATCTTCTAATATACAAGAGCTTCTTTATACAGTCCTTTTTATTTCTTAGCCTGATTTTAGACTTTCTAATTTGTAATTATTGTCCTTATTAGTATTATTTGCTATGTATCTTTTGAGGGGTGTGTGGAAATGAATTTGTTTAATATTTTACACTCTCAAAGTGTTGCTCCCCCTGTGTAACCTACAATGTCATTCCTTTCAGAACTAAATGTGACAGAGATTATCCTGGCTGTGCCCTCATCTTTTTAAAGTAAAATCCAAGGCACCAGTGGTTTTAAAACTGACCTTATTGATAAAATGGTTCACTTCGCCACTTTTATCTCAGCCCAATAATGAATAGAACTTTGAACACAATGGAAACAGGTGAAGCATTGCTACAATTCATAGCAAAGAGTATAGTTTTACTATATTTCACTTCCCTCATTTTGGAAGCCCTGAAGCCTTTAATATGGCTGAGGTTCAGGGAAGGGGATCGATGTACATTATATGTGCTAACCACACAATGTCCTGACGATACCCAGGTATAGTCATGAGTGGAGACCCGGAGAACTGCCTTGCCTGACTGGATCCCACTGTGAGACACCTTAGCAGGAGGCAGAAATCCCAGGCTAAGCAGTGTAATTCCTTTCAGGAAGCTGATAAGCTGACCCATTCAGAGCGCAGAGTTAAATTTCTTTGTATTGAGGGTCTTAAATCACATAACAGACCTCTTACTTGAGGGGGAAAAAATCACAATCAGGTTGAAGAGAAATAAGCAAACAGAAAGGAAGTGATGTTGTCAGATGTCAAGCCAGGAGCTCCAGTCACTTTTGCCCTTCTCTATCATTGATGGTCCAGGATCTTTTTCTTGAGTTGGCTAATAAATAATCAATGAGAATATGGAATATAAATTGAGAAGCCAGAAACAATGTAATTCTTGGCATTAAATTAAAGGACTATATGTGGTTTAGCAAAACAATACAGATTTTAAAATTACAAATCTTTATTAGAGGGAAAGATTTCTTCACAGGCCTGAATTTAATTGAACCATGACTCACTTATCAATTTCACCTTATCTACTGGTTTGGCCAAAAAGTCTGTTACATTTTTTCCATAAAATATAAGGCACATTTCATTTTTGCCAATAACTTTATTGCTTTGGAGATTTTGAGGGTGTTGGTTCTCCTGCTATTGGCTCCTAGTGGGGAGAGGCCAAGGGTGGTGCTAAATGACTTTCAATGCATAAGACAGCCCCACAGCAAAGAATTATTTGGCCAAGATGTCAATAGTATCAAGGAATTTTGCAAACCACTTTTTACATACTCAATCAGTCACAGCACCTTCTGCATACACAGCACAAATATTTTTTATTTATTTATTTTATTTTTTGCTTTTCAGGTGCATTTTTACTTTTCTTGGAAAAAAATAAAGCATAATATGCCAAAAATGTTGCATATCTTCTTTCGTCTGCAATATTAAAATGGCTTCACAAAATTCATCAATTTTGATAAGAGTTTTAAAAAATCCATGCTGATAAGACAGCTGTCACAATACAATCTAACAGAATTGTTTTGAGTGAAGTTAAAGACAACAAAGTGCTACTAGAGCCATCATATGGAAAAAAACATAACAGCCTTTTTGGCCAACCCAATATGCCAGAGATACTGTTTAATAAAACTTTTGATTAACTTTGGAGACTTACTAAGATTAGAATATACTTAATACTCACAACAAATAGATGCAATTTTTATTTTGACCCTGAAAAATTTCAGATTGCTTTTAATCTTCAAAAACTCCATGACATACTTTTAAGTTGGTGTTGAAGTTATAAAATATTAGCACATTGCATAACAGTTGAAACAACATTTCTCTAAATTGATATTGTTAGGGCAGTTTAGGCTTAAAGTTTATGAGAGTTGGATGAAGTTGAGCTGTCTGATTTTTATCTTTTCACAATTTTTTTCTTGCATGATTTTTTAATGTGAAAGTTATTGAAAGCATTTCTGAAATAGTGCAATGTAAAAGGATTATAAAATTATGAGGACATTACTATTCCACTACTAGAACTTTGATTATTCTTGAGTTGTCTTGAACTGTAGCAATCAATGACAAGATTTTTATTTTAGTATTATTTAACATTTTTTGTTGGCATAGAGTTGAAGTGGTTGAAACTTAAGGGTATCCTAGAGGTTATTTTCACCAGCCCTCTCATTATACAGAGGAAGAATCTGTATGAATCTCAAAGAAGTGAAGTAACTTCCCATAAACTGAATAGCTAGCTGCTCATGCCAGGGTCTGTATACTTTTACTCATCCACGTGTCTAATAAGTTCATGTTCATCCTAAAGGAGCTCTCACTGATAGTCTCTGAAAATAGTCCATATGGATGGTATTAGTGGCTTCTCATATTTCTTCCCTAGGGATGATATAAATGTTATATCTCAACTTTTATTAGGGAGTTTGTGTCATTGACGTAATAAAATAGTCTGAAACTACAACAAAGGAATGAGATAGGATTTTCTAACACTTCTAAATGATATGGGGAAAGGAGATACCAAGTGGGTAAATTTCTCAGTAGCTATAAATAAATTTGAAATTCATAGATTAGGAAGTAGCCTTAGAAAGCATAAGTCCAACATCCTCATTTCACAGGAGAGAAAACAAAGACTTATAGAGGTGAAGTTTAGGTAAATAGTTAGCCGCTGAGCTGGGATTCAACCTCCTATCTCTAAGAGATGCGAAAAGTATTTTCCAATAAGTCAATTCTCTCAATGACCATCCTGAAGAGAGGCTAGAGAGAGATTCAGATGCATCCTCATATTGTTTATGCTTTCAGGATTAGTCAGATACAGATTCTATTGTCTAGGAAATCCAAGAGTAAAATTTCAGGACAAGACTATATAAAACACTACTTTATCATCAAAGATGGAACCCATGGTTCTTGCTGGAGTCCTGCCAGGATTATGAGGATAATCAATGGAGAAGTAAAAATACAAAACTATGGTTAAGTTTTAAACCTAAAAGAAATTTTTTAAGGAGATAAATATTTGAGAGTAAAGTATACCTCACTCATCTCCGTGCTACACATAGATATGTATAGTGAAAGGTCTTCTAAGATTTTGCAGTTCTGTACCTAATGCTTACCAAAGAATTTGGCTAAGAGTTCCTCTACTAGACTGCATACTGCTCTTGCTCTCACCATCTTTTGGTGTAATGTGCCATTTTCCTTTGTATCAAGAGCCATAAGTATTTTTCTAAAACACTGAATTTCCTATAATACCTCAGCCCCATCTGCCAATTGTCTTTCTGCTGGTATTCTGTTGCTACATTTCAAATATCCTTCAGCAGATGTAATAGATATTGATGCATTTTATCAGTATGCCAGAGAATCAAATCAAAACACTCTAAAAAAGGGCCTTAGAAAATGAGCAGTTAAAGAAAAATGAGAGAAAAAAACAATCATTTAACTGCTTTTTTACTTATTGTTAGACACAATTTCCAACTTGTTAACCTTAAAATATGTGTTGTTTAATTTGACTCTGTTCTTTGGAGATAAATCTGCTACTCCAAATATAAATAATCCACATTAGGAACAATAGCTTTTCTCTGGGTATTAAGGGCCACAGGTGGCTTTTTAAAATTGGCGGCAGCATTCTCACAATACTTCTGCCTCACCCGGAATGCAAATGAGTAATTTTGTCTTATGACATTCCGTGGCTCTCATTATTTCACAATTGAAGTATTAGAGTCCGTAACTAGTTTAAAATATACACCATGGTGGTATTCATTTAAATTGGACTAAAAGCTTAAATGACTATTAATGGTCAAAGTATTGATTGACAACAGCTGGTGCACTTAGCGCTGCTCACTTAGGGCTCTGTATGCCCTGCTCTTGTTCCTAAAAGAAAAATTGCTCATTTCCTGAGAGCATAAAGAGTTCCATTACACATCGCTGGGAGATCCCATACTTTATAGGACATTCATAATGCCATGTACTTGAGGGCTGGGATCTGCACTTAGGGACAGAACAATTTAAACCTCTTAGCATTCTACCTTTCATTTTACGGCCTTACAGTATATGACATGGCCTCTGAACTCATGTGGAAGTTTTGCTCATTATTTAATGAGCAGAAATGAAATTTTAAGCCACAAAGCTTAGATTTTTAATTCATTAAACTATGTCATATCAAATGATTAAATTACATCTAATCCTTAAGAGTATACTTACCACTTTAAGAGGACAAATTTAGTTCATTCAGCAGCATGTTTTTCAAGATGTAAAGAAAGTATCGTCACATAGTGAATCAGCAAGGTTTTAAAGCCTATCTTTCTTTAAAAAAAAAAAGTCCTAAGATATCAATTTCAACTTAGCACTGCTCAGAGCTTCCCCAGGACAAAATTGGGCAGGTGGACATGGTGTGGCCCTCCCTTGCTGACTCATTTTCTCTGCCCCAGCCTAGCCTTGCCATCCTCGACCACCAGGCCCATTGGGCAAGTTTAGACCTCTTCTTGCCCTTCCCGCTGCTTGGGAAGGTCCTCC